TTATATATTATACATATAATATATATTCAACATATATATATATATAAGTGGCAGATAATTGTATACAACAAGTTTTCAATTTTGGAATGCTTTTTTGTTGCACCTCTTGTACATAATTCTAGCTTGCAACATATATATGTATGTGTGTACACACATTACATAACACAATGCAATACACGCACGCACACGCGCGCGCATACATTGTAAATCGTGAAACTTTTTTTTTGGATGTGTTTCGCTCGATCGTGCTCTGATACGCTTGACTGAATTCGGCATTGAAACATGAAGTGGTCTTGTTTCTGTTCTTTACAGATGAGGAAGACATTTTGGAGTACCAGTTTCTACATAAGTGAGGATCTTTGTTAACGTATACGTAAAACAAAAACAAAAAAACAAAAAAAAAATGATAACGCGAGTCAAAACGACGGTAACGAATGGTCGAGGTGTATTTCCATTGACTTTTACTAGTTGGATGGGAGTGTAGACGCGCACATCCCGGTAAAAAATTTCTGATATATAATCATATATACACAAATTAAAATTATTATATCTCTAATTATGCAAATTTATATGCCGAATATGTCCATGCAATTTTATGCACACGGAGAATTTTTTTTTGTTTAAGAGAATGGCTTCAAAAATAAAACTCTATTAGTATCATGTTAAATAAAAAAAAAAATTATATAAAACTATATTTTTCGTTACTCAAAGATCGCTACAAAAATCACATTGTGGCCGACGAACGAGGTGATAACCGAAAAATATAGCTTTATATAAATTGTTTTGTATCTAATATGATACTAATAGAATTATTTTGTAATTTGATATGGAATATATATCTCTGAAGCCATTCTCTTAAAAAAAAGAAATTCTCCGTGTGCATAAAATTGTACGGACATATTCGGCATATAAATTTGCATAATTAGATACAATAATTTTAATTTGTGTACAAGTACATATATAATTTATATATAATTGTATATCAAAAATTCTTTACCGGGATGCGAAACATATTTATATATATATACATATATATATATATATTTAATAGGCCAATTTTGATAAAATATCATAGAAAGTAAAAGAATTAAAAAAAAAAAA